TCGTATTCCTATTACGGAAAAGGGCATTAAGTGGCACTAGAAATTGTTCAGTTAATATACATATGATAAGAATAAAGATAATTAAAATGATGTACTAAGGGGGTAGAGCTGAAGTGGATGAATTATAAAACTTTTGAAGATTATTACTGAAAGAGAAAGATATTGCAGTATTCAAAACGAAGAATATTAGTGAGTAGGTGACAAAAGCACTTAGGATTTTGATAAAAGTATCGAATAAGAGTGAGCATTGATGTGCAAGTTTTACGTTTGTCTCTATTGTTTTAGTGTCTGCATTCCGGTGTATTTATCGCATGGTAGTAGTAGTAGTGAATACAGAAGTTACACCTTACATGCGAATATAATTCGTACAATTTAACAGATAAGTCCATTCTAAATTTTAAAAATGGTATGTGAAAATCATTCAAAATGTTCGGTAATTGTCATTATCACTACGATTTATCTTTAATTCAGTAGTAGGAAACAGTGTCCTTATTTGATTTACAAGTACTACTTGATCAAACTAGTCGTTTTGGCGTGTTTGATTCATAATGCACCATGACAGGCTGTCATGATACAGTGCCGTGATACAGTACTAATAACTGGATGACATTTCAAGCACATTTTTTTGCTTATATCACTTTATTGAAACGTCATCCAGTTATTAGCACTGTACCACATTGTGTTAAATCAGATAAACTTATATGGAATTACATTCTACCGTAATGCCCAAGTTCTACAATTACATTAGGAATAAAGTTAGCACCAACAACAAGTACTACATGCATGATACCGGTTACTCCATAGTGACCATTCCATATGTCTGTTACAATCCTACAGGAGGTCAATCGCGGTTCCAAATAGCTCAGTGGTAGCCTTTCTGGCCTCATCACTGAGTTGTGCGGGGTTCCAATTCCTCGAACAGACATCAGTCCCTTGAATGCTGCTGGTACGCCAAGCTAATGAGTCCCAGCAACCACAAAGCCTATGTCCAGGGCTTCTTGCTGATTGTCTGCAACCGTCTAAATTGGTGTATATGTGGTTCATGAAGAGTGTAATCAGTTATTATCTTTTATTTCCCAATGCACTACAAATTTGTCCTTAAATCTCAATCAGACACATCTGAAATAGACAGCTCAGTTCTCAAAATGTATAAAAATTTATTAGTACAATCCACTGGTTAAGGGTTAGTCAAGAACAATGTTCTTCCAACTTTTCATTTCATTTTCATCTTATAAATCTATTAGTATTTATAGTAGGAGTTATGTCCAACATGTTAACTGGCAGAAAATAACCAATCGAATTTTGAAACATGCTTAGTAGAAATATCTTGCTGCATTTGTCAGTTGGTACTGCTTTGATATGTTTTATAAAAAAGAATAAATCTAAGAATAAGGTGTATTATTCGGTCTTATGAGCAGTATTCTAATATAAAGTGAAGTGATCTAATTAAGGTTGCTGATTTGCATTGTCGAATTTAGAATAATCACTGTAATGACTATTATGTTTATACATGTAACTGATGTTAGATAATTAGAGGGAGCAATAGAACAACGTTCGCACTCATCATCAAAGTCTGTCAGCAATCTCAAGAGAACTAATGGCCCTCTGGAGAGACTAACCCCCGTCACATGTTGTTGCAGATAGTCAAACCAAAACTTGTAATCAGTCCATGAAAACCTCAAGAGTTGGTTTAAGCAACGTAGGGAGGTGTATCAGTTAATATAACTGTACAACACTGTGTGATCTATCAAAATAAAATCTTATCCATAATGGAGTTATACTCTACCACAGTGCCCAAGTTTTATACTTATATCAATAGTAGGGAGGTGTAGGCTTCCTCCTTGGGGTCCTCGGGATCCTAAGAACCAATGGCTAGCTACGACTGGTGATATGGCTTAAAATCATCGTTGTCAATGGCGCAGGTGTACTCACTCTTTGTGACCCCTTATATCCACTAAACTGTGACATTTTTCCATGTTATTATTCTAACTCCCTCACATTTCTGCTTATTATTGTCCTTTTGAATCTCTGTTTTCTCTCTTTTGTCTTCGTTTATATGTTACATGGAGTGTGGCAACTAAAGTTACTGTACTTCTGTACAAAGTTCTACGTTTAAACTAGTTAGTCAGTCATTTGTAGTTATGTATGCTGTCAATGAGTTATTCGGGTTCACAATTAACACTCCGATCGCCGCCAACAACCTGACATCATTTCAGAGTGCTCTGCAAAGTCGAATCAACTAGCATTGTGACCATCCTGTAAACTTGACTGATAGATTTTAGTTAGCACCAAGACTAATGATTGGATACAAGACATTCGTTAATTCCAAATAACATGCTACTTGATATTATGAGCAAACATTCTGTATGTGAACTATTCCTATTAAATGACATATCAAGTTAATCTTTTGTGTTGCATTTAGCATGCCTTGATTTACATATTGACAGATATAAACTGGTCAACTGAAAACAATGAGCATGATTAATAGTGTTTTTTTTCATAACGAAAATGAGTATTTAATGTATGTTTTGATTACTGACTGACTGGTTTCAACGTAGAATTCTGCACAGATGTTCAGCAGTTAGAGTTGCCACACTGCATGTAGCACACAAAGCAAGTAAAGATAGATAGTAAACCGAAGTGTGAGACAAAAAGAATGGTAATATATGAGAACAATAGAATTTTATTGAATACTATAAATCATAAGGAGTAAGTGTATCTACGCCATTGAGAACTAGGATTTTGAGCCATATCACCAACTGTCTGCAGCCATTGGTTTCTACCATCCTAAGGACCCCAACCGGGAAGTTTACATATCCCTACGCGACTTAAACTAACTGTTGTGGATTTCATTGACTGACGCTATGTTTTGGTTTGACCACTGCTATCCCTTTTCCAACTTGATCCGATGTCAGCTAACATTGCTCGTCGATTAACTTATTTATTAAAAATGTAACGTTTATTAGAGCCACTGAAACTGAATTACTCTCTTATATTGGAAACAAAGTTTCATAAGTTTCGAAGACTAAATTAAATTAAATATTATAGTTAATAGAACTGTATACCCCATGATTTTCAGTTTCGTAACTTGAAGGTCAAGTGTTTGATCCCATTTGGGATTATGTGAGTCAGTACTTCCTAAGAGTATCACACTAGAACGAAACAGGTGTCCAGTTGTCCCTGGTTTACAATGGCTTTCTAAGTGATGTCTTTTCGTGAAGTAATCTACCTGTAAATTTTAAAATTAACTGGATCATTATTTTTCGGGGCCTTAGTCTTACCACATGAAAAGTTTTAACAGAATAACAACTTGATTTTACTTTTGAGGATGCCTATAGTATCCATTACCTCTGGATGTATTATAATAAAATTTCATATAACTTCAGACAATTACGTCTTCTGTGGGTTTTTTTAAAAATAAAATCTTTTTACTACAAATGACACATTTTTTATTTTAGCTTGATTCCACACCGTATTTTTTGGTACAAGTATGGAATTTTCAGCATGTGATGTCGGTAGCCCAATTTTGCAGGCCGACGCACTCCTTTACCTCGCTAAGCCAGTAATAGGACTGGCAAAAAGGGAAGGTTGGTCATGAGGCTAGCAACTCCATCCCGTAAAAATAAACACCACACTTCAAGCCTGTAGCCTGAAGCCCTATGTTCCACTGGGAACGTGAAGGAATAAAAAAACTCTAAAAATGAAATATACTTGGGAGTATAGAAACACTGAAAATGTAGTATAACAAATGATATAATTACGCACATGTTTTGAATATTTCTTCAGTCAATACTGACTAACAGTTTTACTATTAACTTTAAGTCTTTTTGATACTAAGTGGTTGGAGGCAATCGTCAGAAAGCCTTCGACCTAGGTCCTGTCCTATTTAGCACTCGTCAGCAAGGCATATCTGTAACCCTGAGGGAATTCATGCCCTTTTCTGAGATTCGAATCCGTGTCATCCAGTGCTACAGCCAGAGACAGCAACACTGAGCTATTCAAGCTCACGACTGACCTCCTGTAAGACTGTATTGGATGCTTTGATTCGACACTAGTTAGTAACTAGTGTAATATGTAAGACTAAATAATTACCTAGGGATACCTTAAATGATCCGCAACTCCTTTATTCTGGTTTATTTATCCTGTAGAGTCTTACTGATCACAAGTGATTTCTAAATTTAAACTGGCTCTCAGATTTTTCTTTGTGTATAAATACTTGAGCTGTTGCGTAATAATTATAATAATAACAACTTTATTCCAAGAAGCACTTCTAATAAAATGTAGAATTTTCAGTATTTAATTACAATATTGCATCTAGTTTTCTCCTTATACTACATAGTAAGAGGGAAATAATTAAACAAGGTATTTACATTGATTATGATGTCAATAAGAATATGAATTCAAGACTAAAATTAGGTACAGACATTGACAACAATATATTCATAAAAAAAGAACATAAAGATCCGTTTACTTAGTCTTTCTCAGTAAGTTTACGTGGACTTCTTCCGAGCATGACAAGGAACACTGACTAATTTCTGATCAAAAAAAGCTATTCACTTTTGAAAAATCTTATTAAGATGTAACCTGTATGGAAACAATCAAACCATCGCCACACCCGACAAAATTGGCTTCATCAGAATGAGGCAAGTCATGTAAGAAGAAAGAAAACAGAAAAGGAGAAAGAACAGCACCTTGAGGAACACTGGCTACAGTAAATAAAACAGTGGATGACTCCCATTTATATACAGTGTGCTGCACCTCCGCCATACACAAGCTCTAAAACCGAACGCCCCTTGTACCAGTCGGACCTGCGTTGTAGGTAATTTTGAAAGACAATTCTGATAGAGCTGCGTACAGAAAATTTTCGTTACGTAATCGCAGAAGTTGTACTAAAATAGATGATAATGTTTCTTTTTAACAATAAAATATGAGGAATACTTTTCAGCATAAATATCCTTCTTTCTGACCTTATTGGCTGTCTGATGTTTGTATACTTTCAGAGTGATGGATTTACATATGGGTGATTGTATCTACGCAATATCTGGCTACCCATTGGACTGGCATACTCTGGAACAATTAAGGCATAAGTTGATTGAATTAGACGGACTGTCACCGAATTCAAATATCTATGAACTAGCAACTTATTTACTTAACAGACCTTATCAAAATCCTAAGATTTCTTGGAAAAATCATGACTCAAATAATACTGGTATATTCAAAGTTACTACCGATATAAAAAATTCAGTAGTTTTCGAACCACCAGTGCTTATTCTTTTCCGTTATCCCAAAACGAGTTTTCTATGGAAAGATCAAAGTGAAAACGACGAATTAATGAGACCAATGGTAAGTTTAGATTATATATAATTAGCATAAACTTTGGTGCTTTTTACCAGTTTGATTAGTCAGTTCATTAAGAATGTCCTGAGCACTTCACTTATCTAAACTGCTATTGTTATCTCTGTGTTTCTGATATTTACGCAAATGCTTCAAATGAGGTGGTACGAAAACATGTTCTATACATAAATAATTAAAGTAGCCTCAGCAGAACTTTGTACATGGTAGGACTAAAAAATCACTGATCTGTAGGCCTTAAAATGTAATGCTTGGACAGAAAATTCTAAACACTATCTGCTTCACAGTACCTCTTCACTCAAGCCGATAACCCATCGGTCGTTGTCTAGAATGCTGTCGTAAATCAAGGTTTCTGTTATTTTTAAACATCTTTCACTTATAGCAAGATCAGCCTATCAGCTGAATCTATATTGTTGCATCTCCTGATAAGTGACTGTGAATGTTGATTTATTTCAGCTTGCGCTTTTGAAAAGACTCACTCACACTGTCACATTTTTATGATTTTACCTGTCAGCCAACTTTAAAATTAGTGTCAGAAACTTCTCACTTGCATTAATTGTATACCTTTCAGAATGTCCACTTTTGGAAGCATTCATTCATAGGAGGTTTCAGAGTAACACTCAGTAAAAACAATATCTGTTTTCCAGCATAAACAGTACAATATAGTAATAGTAGTATTAGAAACCTTGGAATATCCAATCATATTTATTTTCTGTTTATTAAAAACCTTCAGAATACTGTTAAACAAGATACAGTTAATTGCTATGAAACGGTGCTTGAAAACAATCCAGATGATACAGGATTGGGTTTACAGATAGGATGCGATGAAGGTATGTTGTTTTAATTATGATGACAAATATGTATTCACTCGTATCATTTTCTCTTTGAATCTTTTCTACGTGAAGTAATGAACACTTTGTATTATAGGTTAAGCAGATAGTCACATTAGTTATTGAATATGCTTGCTTGCTAAGATCATGTTTACCTTCATTAGTTAAGTTCTTATATAATAGGCTTGATTTAGAACTCATTAGTACGTGTTTGATCTAAATTAGCATTCTAGTATGTCATAATCATTTATCTTTCTGTGTATACGATGACTTATTAGGACTTATAGTTTTATTTCAAGAAAACTACAGTCGTCTATGACGGTATACTCGGTATGTCCACAGATGTACCTAGGGGGCATAATATTTCAAAGTTTTGTATAATTTACATTTAATTCAGCATACTCTCCTCCTACCTCTGCATAGACCAGCAACAGTTGAGCTTTTATACAGAGTGTTTCAAGGAATATCTACGTGTTATATATTAGTGGATAATAAGGATAATAAAACCTTAGCGAATAACCTAATCAAGATATTGACTCATTATAAATTGCCATTAATAATATATTAGTATATTCATTTCACATTCATGTTTATGGATTATTTTTAAACATTAGTTGGTAAGTAAACAATAGCCGATATGCTTCACACGTTTCTGATACTAACTACAGTTTGTTGACTAAGTTCTCAATTTTCAGAAGTCATCAAACGTTTTCACACATAAACAGACAGATGTCGTCAACCTGTGTACCTTCATAATGACCGCAGAATACATGTCAGGGTTGCAGCAAGTTTGTAGTTGAAAATTAATAAAACACTGTCAAAACTCATCTGGAAGACTTGACAAGAAATAATGGTCTAACAGCTTGCCTTGTAACCGGAAGATCCTGGGTTCGAACCCCGGTGTGTGCGTAATAAGACTTCTAAATTTTCCATTGGTTTTCTAACCGATGTCAGCTCAGATGAAAATTACCCTTCTTTTGTTTATTTAAAAAACGTTCCCCACTTATTTGAAACCCTCTTGATGCTTTAATTTTAAAATCAATTTATGTGAGTTCGAGAACATGGAAGTACTGAACATCCATTTCGTCCTAGTCAAGGACACTTCACCAGTAGGCATCCAAAATCCCACCGGGGATCAACTTCAGGACCTTCAGGTTACTAGTTGAGCCCGTTGACTATTTAGCTACTGGGACGGCTTCAGTACTGCTGAAGAGTGCTAGACTGGGACGAAACAACTGTCTAGTACTCTCTGGTTTTCAAGGGCTCTCTAAATGATGTCAGCTTGTGACCTAACTTGAAAGCGATAAATTCCTTGCAAGCCAACACTTGACAATTCACGTGAACTTTTTGTTTTACTTTTCTTTTACCAAGTCTTCTAACAACCTTTTATTTTAAACTTGTCATTTCTAATCTTGTGTATAAATGTGCATGAAAAATATATGCGTGATAATATTGTTCAAAATAGATTGTATGAAACTCTGTACTCTGTAACAGCTTAATGTTTCTAAATTTTCTAAAGGAATTAGAAAAAAGAAACAGAACGTCTATTTACACATAATGGTTTGAAATCCACTTTTGCGTGAACACTTCAGTTGTCAGTTAGTATTTGAGATGAATTCACGATTTCATCCCATTACTAGTTTTAGATTGGAATCACCATAGCTAGTGGTGGTGGTGGTATTGTCTCCTATTTATGTAGGCAGAAAAGACAACCAACCTTTTCCCAATTCGCTAACTATAGTAAGAGCTGCATCTTTTGCAAAAAGAAATCCACATTCGATAAATCGATGTTAACAGCTTATGAAGTCAATAAGTTTTTGTTGAATGACATTCACTTAAGTGAGAATCATGCAAATCCTCCTCCTAGTAGGAAAAAAATGCCGGCAACAAAAACGTTGCTAGACCGTTTTGTTTGCTGGCTATAAATAATTAAAAAAACTTTAGAAGCTGTTAACAGTTCACTTTAATTTTACCAAACAGTTGTTTATATCTGCGAAAAAAATGGAGAATGAGAAAGCAGACTGTAACAGTTTTAATCTGAAGACTTCCTTCTGGGTCATAGTTTCTTCTTTCGGTTGGATGAACGAAGAATGATTTAAAGACAGAATACTGCTTCACCTTATTCTGTGCAAACCCTTGTTTTTGCTTTATTCAAATTTCTATATAAAATATCTAAAGGCTTGTAATATTCAGATGAATTAGAATAAAACGAGTGAAGTGGCCTACAGAATTGTTAGTAATAATAAATAATACTCAGACCATTTATTCTTGTTTATTGTTAACCTGTAGTCTATCTATTGCTTTTCATGAATTGAACAGATGACAAAGGCATCTATATTGTTTCCATATTCAAAAATAGCCAAGCTGAAAAGGATGGTGTTCTGAAAGAAGGAGATCATATAATTGAGGTAAGTGTGTCCGAGTTTATTCTAGTAAATTGCCATTTTACTCCTTCTTTCCTCGTTGACTAAATATCAGGTTTCAGTTTAAATTGAAAACTTTCGGGGTATAAGTTTTACATTTGCAATCAGCTTTCGATCGTTTCAGTTAAATGTCTCATGATGAAATGCTGTAAACCAATCAAATTCCTGCAAACTAACACTTGAGTTTCGTTACTGTAGTAATCTTAAGCGACTATATTGTTTATGTCTTAAAAGTAAACGATAAAACGTTTGAAAAGTTGTGTTTTTTTTCAGCTGCTTCATTGCATATTTGTTTAAATAGAAATACTAAATAAAGTGTGATTGTCGATCATTTTAGCTGGCTGTTAGTCGCTTGCAAGTTTGTTAGTTTACAGTTGACTGCATATCTTTTGTAACTAAATTATAGGTCACGTGATTCTTCCAATTTATGCGAATAAGACAAATGCTGACACAACGAACTGACTCACAGAATTAAGCATTCGAGATACTAACTGGACACCCAGAACAAAGCAGGTGGTTGTTTTAACAGGCCAATCCCTGGTCCTTTAACTTGATGTCTATTTCATGTCAAGAGCTGTGTTCGTCTAATTACCATTGACCGAAACAAGTCTCTGCGTCACTGTTGTTTTCCGATCCTCAAGGTCATGTGTGCCACAGATTTCAAAACAGGGTTTTCTGACTTTCTTATGCGGACTCTCCATATCCATAAGTCCAGTGATGAGTACTGAAAGCTAGCATTATCCCTTTTACCTTTGTTGGAACATACTCTGCTGAGTGAAGTTAGTGAATAGGACACACTTGCCAGAAGCTAAAAGCGCCTGGCCACATGATAGCTATTCGAGAGGAAGACTGGTTTTGTTGCAGGTCATTTGTGGATGAAGGGCTGTAATCATTATATAACGTATTAGTATAATATTTCTATTTCATAGTCTTGTTTTGTACTTCGTGGCTAAATAAAAATGAGCCAGACAAATTATTCCCTTTTTAAATGCATTATTCACCATCAGTTCTTAGTTTAAATCACTTCCGAAACCATTTTGAAACTTGCAATGTACATATCATCATTCTTACTAACATACAAAAATTCTTTGTTGTGAATGACGACATAAACAAGACCGATATTCAGTTCTATGTGTTTCATTTAATCCTAACATTCGTCTAAAGCGTAATTGCTTATCCCTTTACTGATACAATTCTTTAGATGACATACATTACATCTCTTGAGTTCAAGTTTGACAATTTAACCATTATTTTGAAAAGTGTCATTACCAAATTTTATTCTTTAGGTTAACTATTAACACAAATTGTAGGAGACTGTATAATGCTTTAGGTCTACTTGGATATTTTACGTATTGAGATCTCTGATAATATACAGCTGAACTTACTGTTTTTGATTTTATTATATTCTCTAGGCCTGGTGGTTCAATTAGGATGCTTTCATTGTCAAATATTTCCCTGAAATGTTGAGGTGAAAAATAGTTGGATTTGTTGAATTTACTCCTATTTGACTTAGAGGCATTAGTATGAGTTATGCCTCCCTTTAGCTTTGCTAAAAGATATTCAATGATTTACATAATGGGTGCCTTTTCATTGTGCCTAATGAGGGTGGGGGAGAGGCAACCACACACGTTGTCCGGGTTCGACTACCGGCCGACGCACTCCTAAACTTCGCTTAGCCAGTGGTAAACCCGGTAAAGAGGGAAGGCTGGGCATGAGGCTAGCAACCTCACCCTGTGAAAAAAAACACCGTCACTAATGGGGTGGCAGGCAAAGGAATGAAAAAAGAGGGGCTTATGTAATGTGAAATGTGTTAATTTTGTGATTACTTTTCCCATGATAATATTTAGCAGAGCATATTTAATCTGTACTTTTACCATTTGTCTTTCCAATAATGATTAAAGGTAAATTATCAGAACATTGAAGGTTTGGAAGCCAAACAGGCCCTAAAAAAAGTTAAAAGCGTCTGTCGAAATGCAAAATTCGTACATATAAAGTGTTCCAGAAATCTAAGAGCAGATGATTGTAAATGTAAGTTGCTGATGTCTTACATGTCTATATACATTTTTCTGTCATCTACTCTCAGGTTACGGCAACTAATGAATAATTTTCTTCTTAGTCTGCATTTCCTGGAATGATTTGGTTTTTCAGAAAAGACTGATATTCCACTGGCTCTTTCACAATTACTCTTAAATAGTGATTTTTTTAATTACCTTGAATGTTTTCCCATTCACGCAGTAATTTCACGAGTTTTCATTTCAGATGGAAAACGCAGGCAGCTACTACATGTATATATATATATATATCACCTACAACGCGCCCAATAATACCAACAGCAGAAGGTGTGGAAAGATGGTAAGTTACCTGCGGATTGGAAGAAAGACTGCCTATTAAAACTGCCAAAGAAAGGAGGCTTAAGTCAATGCAGGAACACGCGCAGCATTATGCAACTGTTCATCCCAAGCAAAATACTAAGCCACATCATCCTGGAGAGAATCAAACAAGCCCTGGATGAAAAACTTCGACCGGAACAGGCTGGATTCAGGAGGAACAAGTCATGCGTCGATCAAATTGCAACACTACAGATCATCAGTGAACAGAGCTTGGAATGGCAGTCACCTCTCTATCTCAACTTCATTGATTTTGAAAAGGCCTTCGACAGCGTCGATCGAGAGGTGACTTGACAACTACTCCGCTAGTATGGTGTGCCGCCAACAATCATGCATTTCATCCAACAGTTGTACGACAATGCTGCATGCCAAGTAATCCACAACGGGAAACTTACGGAATCCTTCGAAGTGAAGACAGGAGTAAGACAAGCTGGCTGCCTACTATCGTCGATGATTTTCCTGATTGCAGTAGACTGGATAATGCGACAAACAGCAGGCAATGAGGAAACAGGCATAAAATGAACTCATACAAAAACTTGTAGGATCTGGACTTCGCCGATGATTTATGTCTGATTTCCCATAAAGTGGAAGATATGCAAGCGAAAAGCAACAAGTTGGCAGAAGAAGCATCCAGAGAAGGTAGGACTTCAGGTGAACATAGAGAAAACAGAGGTGATGAAGACTCCTGGACAAGAACAACAACAACAGACAACGATCAGCATAAATGGGAGGAACCTGAAAGAAACAACCTCTTTTACCTACCTGGGAAGCATCGTTTCAACTACAGGCAGACGGAACTGACGAGGATATCAAAGCAAGAATCGGAAAAGCAAGACAAGCTTTCACTACTCTCAAGTCTGTGTGGAGGTCAACAGCACTCAGCATGAAAAATAAGATCCGGATTTTCAACTCCAATGTGAAGTCAGTCAGTGCTACTATACGGATCAGAGACTTGCACTGCGCGTCATAAAGAGCATCTCAAACAAACTACAGACCTTCATTAACAGTTGTCTTCGCTCAATACTCAAGATCAGATGGCGGGCCAGAGAAGATCAGCAACAGAGATCTCTGGCAATGAGCGAACCAACCTAGCAGGAACCAATTGTGAAACAAATATGCAGGAAGAAATGGAAGTGGATTGGCTATACACTGAGAAAACCATCAGGTGAGTGACATCACACGCTGGGCCATCGCTCGAGTGGAACCCGCGCGGGAAGCGGCGAGTTAGTTGGTTGTCAGTGCGAGAGTGACATGGAGGAGGTCATGAGAAGAGGAGATGAAAGCATGTGGGCAGACGTGGAGTCAAACTGACCAGGTGAAAACGTTGTTGGAGAACCGAACGCAATGGAGACGTGAGGCTGAATCCCTATGTTCTTCTACGAATTAAAGGAAACAATAATATTATATATATATATATAAATATATTGAGAATTCTTGGCTGAATTGTTTCGCCTTAATGGCTTCCACAACGGTTTTGATTTTATCTACCAGAGTGAATCACTATTACTCGTGCTTATCATCTTAAATACCTATTTTCATTCACTGTCCACTGTTAAAGTTATTTCTTACATTCCCTGAACAAATACTGATACACAGTATTCACTCATCACATTATATCGACATGTAGTTCAGGTGTAGTTTTTATTTCAATTAACTGAATTAATCGATGTGCGTCGGTGGTTCAGCAGTTGGACGCTTGCGGTGACAGCTGGCTGCTAGCCAAAGTTAGTAGACAGTAATTGACGTCAATGTTTATGTCCTCAATATTGGTCGTGATAAAATGAGAACAAAGGCTTTGCGTAGGCGGATACAGTTAGCATATGGATGATCTGACACAGCCACAAAGAGATGCAAGGTTAACTTTCTGTGAGAAACAACCAATCAAAAGACCGTATTTTCTACTGACAATAATCTACAATAATATGCATTAAAATCTCTAAATATGTGTTGATTTTCTTTAATAAACGATCTGTTGCCTGACCCTTGTCTTCTGTTGTTACACGCTCGCCAACCACCCATTTAGCCCAGGGCTCGATCACCGGTCGATGAACTCCTAGACCTCGCTAAACTGGCTGTAAGGTCGGTAAAGAGCGACAGTAGGGTATGAAGCTAGAAATCCCACCCTCTAAAAATAAAAGAACCACTGCCTTTAGCTTGAAGCCCTATGTTCCACTGGAAACGTAAAGGAATAAAATAAAATAATAATAATCAATGTTTTCATCCTGCCTGTAGGTAAACACTTCATGCTGCAAATATAACCAGAGTTGGACAAGACTGAGCATGCCTTCTACTGGGATTAGGAGGACCAGTAGAAAACTTTATCCGAAGTCAAATAATGCAGTGGATCAGAGTTTCGATTTTGTCTTTTACTTTTACTCCAATGTAACTATAAAAAAAAATATTTTTTTTAAGTAACTAGTATTCATCTCCTTTCTCAGCCGCAGTTACAGATGAATGCAAAGAAATAAAGTCGGAAGATACAGTGGTAATAAGCAACGAAGATCAAGGTGTATCACGTCATGAAAGCTGCAACCAAAAAGACAATAATCATCAGACTGCAAACACAACTACTGGTTCCATTTCACAAACTGAGCCAGGCAGTAAGGATAATGGTAAAAAGTGGTTTGAACTCAAGTGTAATTAGTTTGTTCATTGTATTTAAATACTCTATAGTGCACAGCGGATTTTCTCATCACTATGCACTAAAATGTTTTTTATAATTTGTGTGTAAAACTGGCCACTGTGATAATATGTTATTCCGTATTAATTTGTTTATTGGATATATCACAGTTGTTTTCATCTGTCTCACTTAGCGCTGTTCCTAATTTTCGAATGACATCCTGAGGTTTCAGTTTATCTACTGCTACACTGGAATTTAGTCCTTTTCCTAACGCACTTATTTCTATAAGATTTAAGACCTTTGTTGAGAGAGTGAATTATCAACCGTTGATAGCGTCTTACTGCTAGTCTCATTGCTCTCAGATAGTCATTTCTCTTCAACTGATTTGTTGAACTCCTTCATCTGCGTATTCGCTGAATACTGCTGGTTTGGCATTGTTGGGAGATTATACTGTAAATTCATGATCCTTGTTTTCAAATGTCTCAATTTCATTTTAGACACTGTTCAACTTTCGCGCTTTTCTGTGAATTTCCTTCAAGCATCTCTTTTCTGGTCGTTTTATAGTTGCTACTTATCCGGTAGGATTAGAGTTAGTCGACGTAGACATATAAGAATGATTTCATTGCTTAGGCATCCAACTGTTATTATTATCACTAGAAATCAGTTCAGAATTCTCTTCTAAAAAATAGCTTGTCAGTTTGTCTGTCCGGATACTTTCCAGAGGTGATGGCCACATTCCCGCTGGCCATCTAAAGACTATTATGGCTATTTTTACGAAATTCAAGAGTGTATCACATTTGAAAGCTTATGCTAAAAAATTGGAGGACTCAGAAACACAAAACAATATCAGCATAATATTAGAAAGTGCACCTCTAAGAAATAACAAAGAAAAATCTCAAAAAGTGTGGTATTACTTTCCATAATGCCAAAGTTCATGGGGCTGTCCCTTGTAGGTTAGTAGAATTCGAACCTGAAGTGGTTTAAGATGCGACTTTCTCAGATTTTACCAAATACCTGATAGATTTCACTCCATTCAGAGTCACTCAAAGGAGTTAAACACTGGCAATCGCAACAAAAAGTCTTAGACCTAGTGTCTATCCGCAGATATTCACATACCATCTATGTGACAGGTCCATTAGAGAGTATAATGACCTAAACTAGTCGACACAGAAACAACTCACGTGATCAACAAATATTAATGACGAACACAGACTGTCTGATGCAAACTGCAGCAGCAAAAATAGCAGTGGTGACAATGAAGAGGTGCTAACTAATTATCAAAGGATCACGAAGTGAATACTAAGCACGAAAAGATTTATAAACGTTTTACAAATTAGGACCATCAAATACTCATGAATAAACAAATTTCCCAACTACAACACTAACAGCAGGTAACAGAACACTCATGGACCTACTTACATTTCAAAATTTCATCTTGAAATCGGCTCTGATTCTTGGAAATTTAGTAATTTCAACAGGAGTATCTTGGTTCACTCTGCCTTTATCTTCACACCTGATATAAATAAATATTCATATAACCCTCGAAGTTCTGTAGTTGGTCAAGAACCTGAAATTATCTCAACATAGAGTGCATACGTCTAGCACCTCACATCGTGCACTATAAAACAGCACCAGACCTTGGTTCTAGCTGTGCAGCTATAGATAACTGAAAATTAAACAGCAGCAAGCGATTATCTTCCCTTCCTGAGAAATTTATCGAAACAATAGCACACACGTTACTCCCAATGAACCCTAGAATCTTCCTAAACATAGCGCAGGCAACTAAAAAATTTAAGGTAGTAAGAGGAAAACTTCTTAATTATTCCACTGAAAACTCTTAATTCCTGAGACGTATGCTTTTTAACTCGCTCTGTCTCCATACCAAAACGACGTCTATTCTTTCCCTAGCATACCTAGAATAATAATAGTGCTGGTAACTGAAACTTACCTGTCCTTTCATAGACACTAAGCCTTTTATTCGTGACTACAACAATAGAAGGAAAGATAGAATCAATAAAAAATGAGTGAATTGCTGATCTGTGCCATCAGATGCATCAACACATACTTCAACAGATCTCACCTCCAAAAGGCCTCCAGAATCTTGGTAGATGTTCATGCAAATAAACAGAAATCAACTTCACATGTGTTGTGTACACACAGTTCTAAACACTTTTAAGACAACTGATAAGATCGTCGATAAAAAAATAGAGCATTCATCTACTTCTAAATTTGAATGCCAAGTGATCGGTGAAGGATTCAACCTTCCTAGATCGAAATGAAGTATTTACATGAGATCAACAAACCATAGTGAGCTTTCAAAAGCTATAGATACCTCAGCACGGATCCAAAAAGCTCGGGCTGCTTTCGCTAACTTACACCGTCTCTGACGTAGGCGTGACATCCGGCTATCAACCAAGGGACGTGTGTACTGCTCAGCAGTTCGCTCCGTCCTTCTCTATGGCTCTGAAACATGGCCAATACGAGTTGAAGACATGAAAAGGTTGACTGCTTTTGATCATAGATGTCTACAATCTCTTTCTCACGGTGGGTGGTATAATAAGGTAAGTAATGTGGACATTAGGCGTAGAGTGTTGGGCAAAGAGGGAAAATCAATCGACGAGGCTATAAAGTTACATAGATTGAGATGGCTAGGTCACGTGCTGCGCATGCCTAACCATCGCCTCCCCCGACGGGCATTACTAGCTGATATAGGTGCAGGTTGGAAAAGAGTAAGTGGTGGCCAAACAAAAACATGGCATCAATCCACGAAATCCCTGACAGTTAAACTGAGTCAGGTAAGGAGATGCAGACTTCCGGGTTGGGGCCCTCGGGACTCTAAGAATCAATGGCTGGAGACACTAGGTGACATGGCTCAAAATCGTTGTCAATGGCTTACGCAGATGTATTCAGTCTCTGTAATCTTTCATATTCCTTTCTACCATTACTCATTCCGTTTCACTCTTATACTTGTCAAAACTCTATTGATTCTCTTTATTCATATTCTTGTTTACCTTTGTGTGCTATTTGGAACGTGGCAACTCGAACTGCTGCACTTCGGTGCCAAGTTCTATGTTGAATCCAGCCAGCCAGCATAGATACCTTCGGATGGGAGTAGCGTGTATGCCTTCAGACGTGAAACAGCAACATACTAGACTTAACATCCCGTCATAATGCTGAATCTCCTAGTAGAGTTAAGGTACAGAGTTTTATAAAAGCCATCACTGTTTACTGTACTGCAATCTACCACTGTGATTAACAACCTAAGGATATGTAGAGAATGAAAGAAATTTGCAGATTTGGGAGAGATTCACCATTTCAAACATTTTTCTATGGAATATTACTAGAAAAAATAACAAATGTGGGTTACATGATTTGACAAATAAAAATGTTTTAGTACTTAATTTCACTTCATATCTGCCAACAGCTAGATATTACTTGCTTTGTTTTAAGCATAAGAGTGTATGAAATCGATGTAACTGAGTCAATTGAATACCGAGTCATTTTCTTAATTGTTATCGATTTCAAATTTTAAAGAAATATGTAGCTTCAAATAATAATAATATCAATTTCCAAAAGATATGCTTCTTAAATTAAGATATGTACTGTCAAAATGTCAAATATTTATTCCTCAAATAATTTATTGTTTTATTCGTTTTACCCCGAAGCAGAAAACAGATATCCAAATATTAAAGACCAAAATGGTGATAATGATGACGAAAGTATCCTGGGTAAATGGTCAGATATGTTTGATCCCGATGTTAACATACTGGTAAGATATTTTATTATATCTTTAATTAGTGCAAATGATATTCGTGAGAAATCAGCGTAAACAACATTATGTATGTGTATTTTAGATAAGTTATTACTTCAGTAGGATGACTAAATGAAATTGTAAAACGGCTATTTCATTATAAAACTATTTGACACCTGTTGTTGTTGTTGGTGTCTGTTGCTTGTTTTAAATTCGTATCGGGAAATAAATATTTAACACAGATTGATTGAGATGAGTACTTTTGTACCACTCACATCAACTGGTAGTACTTTTCTTGCCAGATAGAATTGATCTAAACAGCGTACGGCAGTTTCGCTTGTTTGAGGTCAAACTCATCAACGGTGTACCCAGTTAGACTCAGCCGAATATGAATAATCTCGGTTTCCAAAAGAAACTCTTTTGAAATAATAATCATCTCCAACTGTGTAAACTGTGAATTAACAAGTATTGGTTTTGTAGGGATTTTATTTAATTGATTCGCTGGAGGATTTATCATAAGGTGACAGTTAGAGAAACATTGGAAAACCTGGGAGTACACCACAGATGTTTCGTCCTAATTTGGGACTCTTCATCAGCACGCACTCACCGGGGTTCGAACCCAAGACCTTCTGATACTCACCAGCGACTGGCTATTCAGGCAGTTACCTGGGGTTCTAGTGGGAAGCTGTGACCAGTAGGGTACAACAGGTTGAAGGTGAGGCAGTAACTCATCGAGAAAGACATTACAAAATGGTCGCGTTATGTTGTGAATTGGCAGAAGTTAGAATTCATCGGCTGGCTATTGAATCGGGTACCAGTGACTTAATGGTTCTCGAGCTCGCTAGCCTTGTAACCAGAAGGTTCTGGGTTCGAACCCCATGGTGTGGGTGCGTACTGATGAAAAGCCCCAAACTAGGGTGAAACAACTGTCCAGTACTCCCTGCGGGTTTTCCAATGGTTCTCTGACTGATGTCAGCTCATGGTGAAATCCTCCAAACAGTCAAACTGTGATTTAATTTGCAAAATTGAGGAATAATTCGCAAATTGTGAATTTCATTGATGGTATCACCAGTTCACCTAAGTAGCTAGCCAAAAATCGGGCAATCTGAATTGATGTGGCTCTTCGAGCTTAGTCAAATCTGGCACACCACTGATTAGCTTGGCTCCGAACAAGTGAAACGGCCGTCCAATGTTCAGATCATTTCGACTTGTCTAAGAAAAACACTACTAGTTTATGTGAGTGGTGTACAACTACTCACTGCAGTCGATCAGTAGTAATGCAGTCTTATTCGCTTGCCCTTGGATGCTTGATTACCAATTATGGTATCAGTCAGATCACATATATTGTGATTTGAATAATCTCGGTTTCCAATAGAAACTATGGTGAAATAATCACCTCAAAATGTGTGAACTGCGAAGTAATTTGCAAACTGTAAATTTCACTTGTATCTGTTTCATTATTTGATGGATTATATGATCATATTTATAATACTATATGAAAAACTGAAGCTTGACATGATACTAACCAGTAAATCCTTTCAAAAAGCACAGAGTATATGATAGGTCTAATGAATATGCTTCAGTGGAGTGAATAGTGTTTTTTTTTCTGTGTATTATACTACTAAACTGATGACGGATGCTACACTTTTGCGCAAATTTTTCGCGTTAATACATTAGTCAGAGAGTCTCCCGGAAGGACAATAACAGGTGATTAGCCGGCATTTAGCTGACTTAATGAATGGATGAAACTCATGCGACCCTTGGCTATCATCAAGCCTGAAGAGATTTCAGGAAGTGATCAAAACGAACTGCAGAAATTCAAACTATCAGTTAAAAGGGGAGATGTGCAGATTAATTAGGTCATGATAATGACATGCGAAAATAACACATTCTTTAAAAACTTTTAAATATTTAGACCATACAGCTGCGCACACGCACACAGTGAAATGAATTAAATTCATCCCATGCTTATCGTTCTTGCTTTACAAAAATCAACCAATTGTTCAGTTTACGCATGATGTACCATAGTTAGGTTAGTTAGAGCAGCAATCTCCCGTACATATAATGTCGTCACTTTTCTAACTGAAACAGCCTGTCATGAGTTGCATTTTCAAATCAGATTATATTTCCATATGTTCCTTAGGTGGACACTCTTTTTTATTTTGAAATTTAGATTACTTACTAATTTGCAAGTAGTGTGAAGTGTATGCACAAAAATCCAAGGAGATTTTTGTTGGTAATTACGAAATTTTTGAAGAATTTTTGTTATCTAATTTCCATGTGACAATAACATCTGACCTGTTTTTGTTTACTGTTTGTCAGCTTAACCACAAGACTGTGCTCATGATAAAATAACGCCTTTAGGTGTTGCCCAAAAAATAAATACGAAGATAAACAGCATGTTAATTCTTCCAATACACCCAGGGTTATTTTTGTGTACCGACTCCTATTCCAAACACTCTGGCGTATATATCCTTTGGATTCCTCACCTGTGCCAGCTTAGTGATAGCGTTTTCTTTTATTGCTCACACTCCAAAATATATATTTGGTTAAATAACGAAAATCTCTCCTTTACTCAGCTTTCAAGACACATTTCAATCACCTATTGTAATCATTTTTGAACCCGAGTTATTAAGCGATATGACTTTTAACCATTCTGTGTTGTATAATTGTATGACGTGAATTGATTTACAAAACCCTATAAAGTGGTGTCATACACCAGGCATCATTGATAATATTCTCTCAAACTAAACTTCATCGTCAAATTGTTATTGGAATCAGCATTATGATGATTGGAATAGGGTTTAGCATTTGTTCATTCAGTTGGATAATTTCATTCCCAATCATATATTTATTCCTGAAATATATGTACCTACTGAATATTTGCGTATTTTAGGGATAATTTAAGCTTATCCTTTGCAACATGCTAGGTAAGCCTGTAGGTACATTTTCCTCGCATAAGTTTTCAAGGTATGCTTTGAAAATAGATACTACCGAACAGTGACGCAATTATACCGTCTTCAGATATCGGAATTAATTTTCATGCGGCTTTGTTTAGCTGAGTAACAGCATGTTTGCCACTACCGGTTGTGTCTAAATTGAGTATTAATTTCGGTATTACAATCAAAAACTTTTCCTTTCTGAATTAATTGTGTTTAATTTATATTCCAGAGTTCTTTAAATATTTATATTTCACGATTTCAGCAAGACGCAATTGTTAGGTAGTAGTTTGCATATCATCAGATTATGGTTGTGGTATAAGTTCAAGCTAATGACACTAATGAACAGTTTATTGGTCACAGAATTTCATCATGAACTGACATCGGTTTTAGAACCACTGGAAAATTTGGCACAACCGTTTCGTCCTAGTTTGGGATTCTTCAGCAGCAGTCACCCACCACCATGGTTCGAACCCAGGACCTTCCGCTCACAAGGTGAGTTCGCAGACCATTGAGCCACTGGCACGTGATTCAATCCCCCATGAATTCCAACTTCTACCAATTCACAACATGGCGCAACCGCTAGCCAATTTCTTCGGCGAGTATTTGTCCTCAAACCCGACCTGCAACCCAGGTGATGGGTGCGTGCTGATGAAGAGCCTCAAACTAGGACGAAACAGCTGTCTGGCAGTATTCCCAGGTTTTCCAATATTTCTCTGACTAATGTCAGCTCATGATGAAATCCTGTGATCAATCAATCAAATCCCTATAAACGAATACTTGAACAGTTTATTTTACAACACCCAACATTTTCATCCCACTGCTGGTTTTAAAATTTCAGTATCAATGCTTAAGACAGCATCATATGAAACTGACTAAGTTGGCTGTTAAGAAAATAACCAGTTACAAACACATCACCAGTTTTTTATCATTACCATCTCTCCCTAATACGAATCCATTTGAATAAACGTGTTTATTTGATACTGAAAATTCAAAAAATTGAAGAATATCAGACCATTCTAGGTAATCAGGTAGTCAGCTTAGTTAGCAACTAGAAACTTGATACGTATATCGAAATGTACGTCAGCAAAGATGCCAACAGAAAACTACAAATACCTGTATGAAGTCACTGGTACCACAAGTGAATATATTTCTTTCTCCAACAAATAATACCATACCTTGTGAAAGTAAAGCATTATGGTAAGTAAATTAATTAATATTTCAGGAGCTCACAACTTTTGAAATTTCTCATGATGATGTTATTCTAAAGAAGATAACAAGTCTTACGATAGTTGTAGCTTCTAGAGAGTGATGATAGTGAAATTATTTATAAGGCGAATGATCAGACCATCAACATTAAAAAAAAGGATGCTCCCGAAAATTTTCCACCTCATCATTCTTCTTTTTAGTGCACAAAAATCTTGGATATCATTTATATGAGCTTCAGTACACTACAGATAAACTTTTATAACTAGCATTCTTATCTTGAAATCAACTCAGTATTGAAAAGTGTTACAAGCTAATCAACTGTCAAAGCCTTTTATAACTTTATTTCCCACAATAGGCTTTCACAATCCACTTGTTGTAAATTTGATAGGTTATTATCATGAGCATCAGTTTGCCCGGAAAATTGTGTCAAAGTGTATTGTTTGTTACCAATCAGATTCACTATATTCCCAGTTTTTATACAGCTGTCAGTTATTTCCTTGATTTGTGACAGTTTTTTTTTTAAAAGATTTTTCAATACTGTTGAATATGTAGTTTAATGATTAATTACTTCTTTTTTTTTCAGTTGGTACATTATACTATGGAAAATTCAGACTGTGGTTTAGGCATTGGAATTGAAAGTATTGTACAAGATGAAGAATTAGTTGGTGGACATCAATATCATCATTACATAGTAGAAATAAATTCGGAAGGACCGATCGGTCGAGATGGGACATTGTCAATTGGCGATGAAATATTAGAAGTGGGTTTACGTTCACACTTTATTCATGGAGGACTTTGATATCGTTTACTGAGAATGAAAAGGAATTATTTTTCATATTATGGGATATATTAATTACCACTTTCTGTGTAAATGTCTGAAACAAATCTGAAAGACTTTATTATGTTTAACCCACACAAATGTGTTGAATCTCTGCTTACTGATTCCATAGTTTGAGCAGACTTGGAGACTTTGTATGTATATTCCATATTGGTTTGTTTATTAGGTATATCACACAGTGAAACAGTATTATTTACTGGATGACGTTTCGAACAAAATTTATTGTTCATAATCATATCAATTGTGATCACACGACTTTGACACTTGAGTTTTATAGTTTTCTTTGTTCTCTCCTATTTGTCGTATGGGTAGTAGAATTTTCCAGATATCGGGGACAGGTGATGAATCATTCCTATTACATGCATTTGTAGTTGATTCGATAAACAAAGCTTCTGTTATCAATCTCTCCCTATACCCTGTGACATTAGATTTTAAAACTGTCATCCTATCCCATCCTATTGTATGGTTGTGTGTAACTGCATGTAGTGCTATAGCTGAACTATTCTCTAGATTTCTTATCTTATTCGGGTCAAACAATCTAGATTTTGCTAGGCTTTTATGCTTGGCTAGTCTGACTGCCCCTGTTCTACTAGTTTGACCTATGTGTTTGACCTGACAATCATTGCAGGGTATTAGATAAACTAAATTGTTTTGTTTTAAAGGCTCTACAGGATCCTTTAACCGACAAAGCTTGTTTCTAATTGAGTTTGTGGGTTTGACTGCCGTTTTTATTCCTGCCTTGTTAAGAATTCTGCGTAAGGCTTCCGAGGTTCCTTCCTTGAACAATAAATTTTGTTCGAAACGTCATCCAGTAAATAATACTGTTTCACTGTGTGATATACCTAATAAACAAACTAATATGGAATTACTTACTACCACAGTGCCCAAGTTTTACACATATATTAGGTATGTATAATTTCTTTGCGTATCTCGTGAAATACAGGGCTTCACGCTTTGAAGTTTAAGTAACAGTGGACTTGCTTATATATATCGGATAGGACTTCTAGTCTCACTCCCAACCTTCCCTCTTACTGGATTTACTTCCAGCTAAGTGAGGTCTAAGAGTGCGTCAGCCGGCGGATCACGTGTATGGTTGGCAAAGATTCTACTGCTGAACCACAGACGCACTGAAACCTCCGTAGAATGGTTATAATAATATCATGAAGAACACTATTCATGAGGCATTGCATATATTTCAGAGAGAAAGCCTGTAATGTTGAACAGAGACAAAATGTATGAATGAAGACGATAATCTCATACAAATTAAAAAAAGAGGAGAAAAGTAAATTTCCTATGATAACAAACCCACTTTCAATTCATCTGTATGAATTACATCAATAGAAGCAATTCAAGCTTCTACAGACAATTTTTTTTCATCACTTTCAGTAATTTAACTCTGTTCGGGCTATAGAGGTGATATATACAGTCTTCCAAAGAACACTATTCTTTCACATTCAAAAAAGTTAATTGCTCGGATTTTTAACAGAGTTTTAAAATAAAAGGATACTTTTTCAACGTATCAACCTATCTTTAATACAAATGTGTTGACAAGCCTTTAACTGGTTTTATAGAGAATAGTATTCTGTGACAGATTTTGACTTAGTATAAAGTTCCAGTAATTCTGACTCTAATAAATAAATACTTGAGTGAATTTTAAAAAAATTTCGTATAAGTCACTATCATCACACTCTATCACCAGATTTATTTTCACAAAAGTCTAAACTACGACTAACTAATAGTAGAAACACTGTGCTGTGTGTACTTAAGCCTTATAGAAGCTTTTGTGCTTCAATCTACTTGTCAGTCAGTACTGTGTGCTACCCGACTACTGTTCAGTAATACTATCCTGTGAATAATATATATATATATATATAATATTAATGGTCTTATTTTATAATTAATAATATACATGAGTATAAATCTACTAGTGTTATGACAATATTATGAAATAGTTAATTTTTATTGGTACAACCTATACTGGTGGTATTCTCGATTAGATATTTCACTATATAAAAGGAGAAAGGTTACAAAGTGGATTGTATTCAACAAGTGATTGTAGAAATATATATATATATTGTTGTGATTCAAATTCGCAGTTTGTGATCAAAAGCTGATGGATATTTCCATATAATACACGATTGGATCTATTTGTTATTGTTGTTTGGTTCTTTCTGGTTCGCAGAATTCTTAATATCCTTCTAAACAAAACAACACACGATATTTAGATAACTTCACAACACACTGTATGATCTTCTAGTGCTAGTGTGCGTGCTTATTTTATGCCTTTCAGGTCAATCGAATTGTTTGTCTTAACAAGGATCATTTAGAACTTGCTCGCGTTTTTCACACGATTCCAACGAAAGGATTTCTAGTGTGTGCACGATTTCCAAATGATACTTATTCAGGGGATATAAAAACTGAAAGTGGAAGTGATGAAATGATTGTAACCAACGCTATTCCCTTCAATCATTCGTTGAGTGATGGTGAAGTGCCTTCAGTTGACTTCGAGGAACAGATTTCCGATAAACATTCGTCTAATGAATTATATTCAGAAAGCAAAGAAGATTTAATGCTTGAAATAATCAACGTAAATGAAACTGATCAAAATTATAGTTCTGATATAGACGACAGTCAACAACCAATAAGACTGCTGACCATTACAAACACTGGTCTTAATACTTCAGCTTTGCAAACTGCCTTTCAAGTAGAACAAATAAAGTTGGACGATGATCATGATGATGATGATGATAAGGTAAGTTGCAGTGGTTAATTCTATGCCTAGTTGAAAAGTACTTCCATCAGGAGCTTTTTATTTTTTTAATTTTTCTCAATAACTGCAAAAACCATCGAAATGAAAATATTCTGATCCTTCATTGGAGAGTTAGTTATTCAACCACGAAAAGAGAAAAAAATGGATAAAAAGACCAACACTTTGAATGTTACGCCTTTCCTAATCGATCTGTCACCAGATACACATGCATTGACAATTGAAATTAATCACACTTTTTTTTTCTACGTCTCACTTTCATTCACTATCATTTATGAATCAATCTAAATGGTAATCTGTTTAGTAGATAAACTTTTATAAATATTAACGGAAACGTTTGCATGCCTTCATGCATAATTCCGTATCAGTTTGTTTATTAGATATACTATACACGGAAATAATATTGTTTACTCATAACTTGGACTGATGTACTTTTGTATAAAGCTCTACAGTGTTCTACTCTTTTTTTACTGTGTGATAAATCTAATGAGCAAGTTAATATCTAAATAGATAGATAGTACTATTGTCCCCAAGTTTCAGACATTTTCATGCTGTGATTTGAAGCTGCTGTCTAAAAATAAAAGACAACAAAACAAAACATAGTGATAACCAGTGACACAAATACATTTGGCAGTAAAAACAATGAAACATAAGTGAAAATATATGAAGTTATGAAGACGACATAGAGTGGCTAAATATTCATCGTTGAGCTGTATCATCAAGACTTCTTCTCAAATATTGAATTCTGCGATCTGATGGCTCTAGATAAAGCAATTTAGAGCCTCCGCATTTAGACGTATACAATAATCAGAGACCTAATGGTTTAGTTTTATCTTTTATTTATTCTGACTATCTGTAACGTTTAGGCCAACTTAATTCCATTTTTCATCAACACTTATTAGCAAATGCTTTGGTAAACATCTTGTCATAGTCGTTATTTGTGTCATGGACAGAGGATTCAGTTCACTACACACTTCCTGTGGCTATTTCATGTCTGTTTCCACTGGTATAATACGCACTGCACGAACCACAGCGCTTTACAAGCTATTTGATTGTCTTTGAAACTTTTTCCGGTATCGTAAAAATTCATATAAAATGCTGTACTTTATTTGTAATTCAGTAATAGTGGTAAATACATCACTAAAATAAGGCATACTATTCACATTCATTCACATAATGCAAATAGAAGAGAACAGAAAATATCTATACAATAACTATTTCTCTTTACGTTGCAGATACCTGAAAGCCCTATAGTAGAACCAGTTGTAAATGAGACGAATTCAGAGGAGCAAATATCTACTGAATGTGTTACAACCAATTTATTCCCGCGTCTTCCTATGGCAGAAAAGGTAGCAAACTTTACAAGAAAAAATTCCAACAAGAAATTAGCGTCTCGTCTGTCCTGTGAAATTCCTCAAAGTACAAAGGATCACTCAGATAATGGTATCCAGTTAAATGACATAATAAATCAAGATGAGATAGTATCAGTAAAAGTTATGAAAAAGGCAGGGGAAATACTTGGTAAGGTCTTTCGAATATACTTAGGATTTTAAAGAATTACTAATACCTGTCGTGGAATACATACTTTAAATCTCTGTATACCAACATTCTTATTAATAATAATTTGCTTTGTTCCAGAAACAGTACTAGTGGTACAGTGTGGAATTTTCAGCACATATCTACAATATTTGCATCTAATTTTACAAACATTTAAAAGGAGTATTTGACAAAAAAAAATCTAAAGACACCAACAGCAAAAAAACAGGAAAAACAGGATAAACACAAAAATAATTATAAATGCGAAAAAATACCAAGAAGTAGAAAGGAAAATAGACATCATATAATAATAACTCAGTATTGGGTAGTGGAAGCTATGATATAATTATGCATAGTGACAGTAAGGCTATAGTCATACAAGAAGTTATGAAATGATATTTAAGAATGTTTATCGCCAAGATGGTCAGTTAATTTGGTTGAAACAACTCTAAACAATCTTAAAATAACATTTCAGGGTTGGTGTTTTTTTTTTTTATTGTCAGGTCTAATGCGGTGTTTGTGGTGGTAGTGTGAGTAATCCTGCATAATACAAATTTTAAGATGGTGATAATGGCGTTCACAACCAAGATTGTCAGTTTAATATTGCCGAAAAGTATAGAAAATAGGAAAAAACAACCACAAAACTGATAACTACATGATGTTTAATGACAGGACAATTTTGTAATACTCATAGGGCTAATAGAATCGAAACCAGTGGATACACAAAAGAAGGAATATAGTAAAGTACAAAAAGGAAGCCAATGTTAATAATCTAGGTAGCTAAGTATGTTTGAGAAGGAGTTCACTATAGAATACAAAATAAGAGAGAAATAAAAGAGCCTAAAATTATGTTGTTGTTAACAAAGCAAGTCATAGGTTTCACGCTTAACATTGTCTCTGTCGCTTAGAACACGGGCCAAGTATGGTATCGTTGAGTTCCTGTACTTGGTTGTACGAGCATAGATTATTTTTTACTGATTTCTGGTTTTGCTTACACTATAATTCACATTTTTAATTATTCTTCTTATACTCAAAGGTTTGGAACTTGAAATGGAAAATGGTGATGAAAGAGGTATACCACTGGCGTACATTACACCTGGAAGTCCAGTCGATCGTCTGAAATGTCACAATAAGAATAAATCAACAGAATATTTGCGAAGTGACTCCTACTACACCAATCAATCAGAAGCTTCGTGTGATGATATTCAATACACCCGTGTGCCAATCCCAGGAGATCGTATTCTAAGTGTATCCGACTACAGTTTTCAGCATATATCTGCTTTCACAGCCTTAAGACTTTTACGGAAACTTATATCATATTCTGGCTTTATAAAGTGAGTTATTAACTAAAAACCTAGCGATGTTTTTTTACGGTAAATGAAATCGTCTGACTGCTTGATAATTCAGGAATTAAGATAATTTTAAACCTGCTTGATATCATAATGCCTTATTTCAAATATATTTATTTGAAGTGCTTTTTAATTTATCTGAATAGAAGTTAAAATGGTTAGTAACATTTTAATCTCCGTTACTTCGTATTAAAACGACGTATCATTCGAAAGCTACATGCTACAGTATGATGTATAGATTACCTATAGTTTGTTAAAAATATTAACAGTATAGTTAATAATATTCATTTCTGTATAAAGAAACTGCGTTAGCATTCATAAAGGATGATTGATTACTCTTCCTTATTTTATAATGTTTCAGCCTGTTGTTAGATGGTTGGAGCTGATAGGCAGGAAGCCTTGTGGATCTAGGTTTCGTGCGTTTCAGTGCTCGTCAGCAAAGTGTACCTGCAATCTTAAAGGAATTCATGTCTAACCTAGGATTTGAACCAAACGTAGAACTAGACTCATGACATTAGTTATTACCTGGTGTCCGATGAAAGTATCCATAACATTACCACAGTAGGTCACTAGTGAGTCCAAATATCTCTTTGATAACGTCTCTGGCTGCAGCACTGAGTAACCCAGATTCGAATCTCAGAAGGGATATGAGTACCTTCAAAATTGCAGATACGCTCTCCTGACGAGTGCCAAGGAGCATGAAACTTAGGTTCAAGGCTTCCTGCCAATTGTCTCCAACTATCTAACAACAACTCAAAGTTAACAGTGATAAGGAAACACCTAGAAAGGTGGCCAGATTGTAAACAGTCTGCACCAAACGCAGGACCAGCCGCATGACGCTAGCTACTACCTAGTGTCCGATGAAAATAATACAATTGTCTTTATTCCATGGTCAATAACAGTTCTACTCTTGTGTATTACTTTCATTCATGAAAAAGAATATCTTTGTGTCAGCCGCCTACACTGATTCAAGACCTTCAATATCATGTTAAATCGAGTTTTAGATAGACAATTTGAATATCATGACAACTACCAACTATTTGTACCTATAGTCGAAATTCAGTCGTATTGAGATGAAATAAAATTTGAAATTATTCTTTTTCCATTTATATGATAACGATAACTCTTCGCTGATAATATTATAATTAAGTGACTGTATTAAGTAGTCAATAACCATTACAATCCAAAGTCAGTTAAAATTATGTAATGAATCACTTTTAAATTATTAATCTTCTATAGTTGGTTTTGTAAAGATTAGTTTTGTTTTTACGGGTTGATCATGGATTGATATTGATGATTCCCAAAGTAGGATGAAACAGCTATCTGGCAGTACTCTCTGGTTTTCAATGGTTCTCTAACTGATATCAATCCGTGATCAACTCTTAAAAAATTATTAATCATGAATTTTGCACGTCTAGCTTTATAAAACAGGAATATTCTTACACACTGATTAGTGAAATACGATTTTCCTTCAGAATTTTTTATAAATTGTAATTGCACCTTACATTTATACTCTTACAACTTTCTATTCCTCACAGTTCTTCTATTTTATGTGACTGTAACCGCAGAAATATATATATATATATATAGGACTGAGGATTTCCGTTTTCAGAAAAGATAAAGAATATAGGAGTTACAGGATTTCATCACCCATTGGAAAACCTGCAGGGAGTACTGGACAGCTGTTTCGTCGTAGTTTGGGACTCTTCATCAGCACATACCCATCATGACCTCCTGGTTACAAGTCCAGCGAGCTCGTAGATCATTAAGCCACTGGGACCCGATCCAATGGAAGTTATTAGAAATGACGGAGAAATTATTATTTATTATTGTATGGGCAACAAGTGTTTATCGTACTAACCACTGCAAACACAATCCTCTAGGCCTTTGAGGTAAATATAAAGCAGGTGCAGAGAATGAAGAGTTACATACATGACTATTTAAACTGTCGATAATGATATATTTATAATGTATGACTATGAGACCATTGAAATTACGACCTTAGGATATGTCATGTATCGACAATGAAGAAAAGATTATAAAGTCATCATTTTATTTTTCAGAATGGCATCAAGAAAAAATTAATCTTGATTCATAAATCGGAGATTGATTCTAGTTTCAAATAAAAACATAAAAATTTGAGGTTTCTATCCACGCATAAGTCTTCTCCAGTTCTTGTAGTAATTCTGAAAATTCCATTTCGTCAATTCTACTCCCACTTAATTATTCAGTTATCAAAACTAGTACAGAAATACATAACTCTTACAAATGTTTACATTTATTTTTCTAAATCGTATTAAAGGAGTGATTTTTTTTCATTGTTTTACATTCCGACTTGAACATAGGGCTTCAAACTTGAGATATGAAGTTCCACTAGTGGAAGCGTCCACTTAACAGGGTGAGCCTGCTGGTCTGACATCCAACCTTCCCTCTTTACAGGGCTCGTTACCATCTAAGCAAGGTTTAAAAGTGCGTCAACTGGGAATCGAAATCGAACCATATGCCTGGTTGACGAGCATTCTTTCTCTACGTCACCGATGCATAGAAAAAGGAGTAATTAGGTTCCCAATTTTCGAAATGTACAAGTCGACAGTCAGTTTGGTTAAATGCTTTACAAATTAGGTTATGTATGCGTCGGTGGCACAGCGGTTAGGACTCTCGCCAACCATGCACATGGTCCGGGGTTCGATCCCCTGCCGACGCTCAACTGATATCTATGGTTGGCCTGCAAAATTTGGGCTGCCGATATGATTTGCTGAAAACTCCATACTTGCACCAAAAATACTGTGTGGAATCAAGCTATAATCAAAAAAAATTAAAAATAATTGACTCCTATTTTCTCTTTATCTACTACATCATGCTTATGATTATATTGCTAATCAGACTTTAGAAGAGAAACCTTTGAGAGTAAAGTAAAATATAACAAACCTATGTTCATGTCATCTTTACCTAATAAAGAGAAAGTTTAATCACAGATTTACAAAATCTGAATCAGCCTACATTTTTAATAGCAACACTTAATTATAGCATTGTGAAAGAAGTAATACGCTTCTTTTAATTGTAATTGTATAACATGTCCAGTTGATATTAGTACTCTAACTGTTGAAACCCCCACCCCCGCCAGATTATTTGTTTCGCCCTTTCTCTTTTTCTATTCCTCATTTTATATCTCTTACTTCTTTCTTTTTTAATCACTTCACTACTGTTATGTTTGTAAGAGCACAAATCAATGTCCGATTGTAGCTAATGATAAGGTAATGTGTTTATGTACGTAACTAAGCAAAACGCTTATGATTCTGTACAATGGTTGATTTAATTTCTTTGCTTACATCCTCTTTTATTTTGCTTCTCTGCCCATCTTCACTTCATTTAATTGGGAAATCTTGCTAATAAAGGCTTTTTTCAACAACAACAACAAAAACAATAGCAAAAAAGTTAGTATGTTTGCTGGTCAATAAAATTCTCTTTGCTTTATTGTAGTAGTGACTGTTTCAATGACAATTAATAATTTCTAATAGGCATATAACAGGAAAAAGAAAAGCTTCTGCTACACTTCGAAAGTGAAATAAGTCTGGTATATACGCATATATGTATATATATATATATATGTATATATGGGGAAAAAGTTATTTCCATTTCTGTATAGCAGACGAAGAGTGAAAGTAAACTGATTTATGCGGAAATCGGATGATTTGATTATTTTTTTTTGGTAATGTTCTACAAAGTCATATGATAGATAAGCTACTGTCATTAATGATCACTACTCGTCACGCTACTAAATTTTAATTGATCACTTCTTGATGACAAATTAGTTCATTAATCTTATTTGCATTATAATTTATTTTTTTAAATATTATTGAATGAATTCATAATGTTTCTAGTTACTGATTGGTAGTGTTTATTTATAATGTCTGAAAGAGTGTTACTTTTTGTTAGGAAGTTAGTGTAATTAGAAAGTGATTCAGTTGTAGAAATGAAATTAAACGTAAGGAGAAGAACATTTTCAAGTATTGGTTTTGTAGGGATTTTGTTTAATTGATTGGGTGCAGGATTTCATCATGAGCTGACATTAGTTAGAGAACAATTGGAAAACCTGCAGGGAGTACTGGACAGTTGTTTCTTCCTAGTACTTGGGACTCTTCAGAAATACGCAATCACCACCGGAGTTCGAACTCAGGACCTTCTGGTTACAAGGCGAGCTGGCTCGTAGACCACTAAGCCACTGGGATTCGATCCAATGGCCAGCTCATAAATTCTGAATTCTGCCAATTCACGCATGATATGGCGCGACCACTGCGTAATGTCTTCCTCGACGAGTTACTGCCTCACCTTCAATCTGCTGTACCCTACTGGTCACTGCTTCCCACTAGAACCCCAGATTAACTTTCAGCAGATGCCAGATTTCACTTGTTGACATTCAGTTATTTTTCTTGTAATCTTCACAAACTTATTCACATGTGCTGCAAAATTATACCAAAAACCTTAATCTATGAAAAGGAAGTTTCTTCATTAAAAACAAGTCGAAAATATTAAATACTGTCATCTCGTACTACTGTCTAACAAGATCTGATCCCAAAGTTTAAATTTTTCCACTAAAAAAATACTCTGTTTTGCATTAGTTCCATTCACTGGAAGCAACCGGTCAAACCGCAGTGACTTGGCTCATTGGCCTAAGTAGTTGACTTTCAAATGAAGGTCGCCGGATTCGAATTCTACTCCAAGTATTCCAACTTAGGCAACTGGATAGTGTAATCAATAATCAAAAAATATTTGTGGTTGGTGGCCTGCCTCATATAAAATCCATCCTGAATAACTAATTCCCAAATAAAGAAAATACTCTCTGAAACAGCGGCCTTTAGTAAATGTGATTTGTACAGTTTTACTGAAGAAGAAGAAGAATAAAACACCTCCGGGAATTCTTATATCCTTCCTATATTTTTACTGTATGTAATTTTGTCAGTAATATGAATAAAAATATCCAAAGTTGTTTATGTAACAAAATAGAGGAAACCAATGGTTAACTTAAGTGATAAAAAGACAGCACTCTGAATTTCTAGTTATATATATAAAACAGTTACGTAATTAATCTGTCTAGTGTTCCTCGTGCTATATATATATATATATTTATATGTATATTGTTCAGTATGCTTACGCATTTCCCAAAAATAAGACTGACGTCGACTTGTTGACTAATTATTACCACTATTATTATTCCCTTGGGTTCTGAGTAAAACATACGAGGCTTCTCCATTTCACCCTGTTCTCTGCAAGCAAGTAGGATTTAATTGCGAAATGCTGGATATTAATTAGTTTGATATCATGTCTAGTTTAAAGCCTAGATGGCATCCATAATGTAGTATAAAGTATGGTCTATACTACTAATAGTATCCGATTCTAGATAAATGATCATATTCCACGAGAATCTGGAAAACAACTATTTAGTTCTTTCTGCTTTAACACATGAAACTCTTTTATTAATGCATCAGTCATAACAAGTTCATGTCTGAAAAGCCTTCCAAAGTATTGATATGTGTTCAGTATACACGTAGGTTTGGAGTCTTCTGTTGAAACCTCACTTTAAAAAATTACTTTGTTTTGTTAACAGCTAAAAGTTCATTCGATGAAGGTATAACGAGCAACATAACCCGTCTTCAAAACGTCTACCTTAAAGTAACTAGTCATGCCTACTAATACATACTTGCATCATAACTGGAAATACTTATGAATAATAATTATTATTATCATATTCCCTTTATGCAATCCATGTCCTACGCACTATAATGGCATAACTAAGTATTTTTCCAACAAGGCCTGAAGTCGCATCGTTCTAGAAACTTAAATACCATCTTTGACCGCTTCCTATTGTAGACATATGAAGGTGAATCAAGTATTCTAATGTTGTTTTACAAGGGGTATCCATTAGCACTAAAATCAAAAATGTTGTTGAAAAGTAGTTCAAAATGTGGTTTTGGCAGATTTAAAAACTGCATCCCACCGAGATTAAAACTCAGAATGAAGCTGACTGAGACTCAAAACCAACAATGAGAAATCTAAAGTTTGAATTCATAAATGTTTGAAATTCTGTTTGAAATCAAATCTGTTAATCTCCTTCACACACACAGAAAAACTTTTACTACTATCACTATTACTAAAGTCTTTATAAGCATTGGTTTAATCAGAATGAAAACACTTTAGCTGCTGAAGATTATTATTGTTATTATTGTTCCCTTGGGTTCCTAGTGGAACATAGGGCTTCAACTGCACGTCTCCACATGCTTCTGTCTTCTGCTGTACTTTTCACTTGCATCCATGTTAGTCCATACTGTTTCAACTCTTCTTCACACGATCTCATCCATGTCACCCTTGGACGTCCCACTCACCGCTTCCCTTTCGGGTTCCACTCGAGCTGTGGCCTGACGCGCGATGTCACCCAACGGCCTCCTCTGCTCAGCGAGTGTCCAATCCATCTCCACTTTCTCCTACATATTTGTTGAGCGATTGGTTCTTGTTTTGTTTGTTCCCATAGTTTTTTGTTGGTTCTTGTTCTTTCCGGCGGCCATCTGATCTTGAGTATAGAACGAAGACAGCTGTTGATAAAGGTCTGCAACAGGCTGTTGGAAATGCTCATTCTTTGTGACACACTGGCCAAGTTTCTGATCCATTCGTATAGAAGAACTGACTGACTGACTTGACGTTTGTATTGAAAATCCGAATCACTTTGTTGTTGATGCAGGCTGAGTGACGAAGATTTCCAGATTGGTTTCAGGTTGATGATGTTGATGTTTCTCGCCTTCCCGATTCTCGATTTGAGCTGCTGAAGAACAGTACATTCAACCATTAAGATTATTTATAAGTTTTTTGATTTCATATTTCTCATGAAAATAAACAGGATTATATATACAATAAGAAAACTGGAATTGTATCTGAGTCTTGTTTAACCAGGGCCATTGAACCACTAACAAGATCTCGTTAAATGAAAATATATCATCACTAATCTATTTCTTGTGGTATTCAGAAAAGAGTTCATTTTCTTTTCTATTTTTCTTTGTCACAGTATCTAAAAAGCAGTCTGACAGTAATTTGTCACCTTTTTTTAATCATTTTTATCAATATCTGTGGGTGTGGTTGAAAATTCACTGTCTTCTAACACGTATTTATATCCAGAATTCTTCCTAGTGGGTGTTTCAGGTATTAACTATTTCCATTTTAATACTTTATAAATTCGGATTAAACACAGATTTAGTAGGAATGATTATAGTAACATAAATAATATCTGAAATAGAATTTACCCCCTCCTACATATCAGCTATGAGAACTGTACAGATGTATTAGTTGAGTAATTCGATCACTGTTCTTGACCTTATTAATATACGCATGTATATATATATATATGGCAGCGCTTTTTATTCAATCGTATTCAAAATATTGCTTAAACTTCATATCTGCATTATCACTATTATTCAACAGACTCTTACTTTTCATAATAAACTCACCTAACAGACACCGGTCCATTGACAATATTTCTAATTTATTATTACAAAGATTCCTAAATATTTATTTATGAATTTAAAGTGATAAGGAAAAGATCTAATTGTGTCCATTTTAAAAAGTAATACAGTAGAAGAATGGAAATGTATGAATTATGAATGTGTATATGTATATGCATACCATATTCTTCTATTCTCTTTTCGATGAAGTGAGTTCCTTATCTGCTTAAATATTATAAAGTGTTATCCTAACAGTCGATTTTTTGCATACTTTTTTTTACCTACAAAATAGTGTTTCATCTCAGAAATTGGTTTGTAGATTAAAGTAATCTATCCTGAATAAGAATGTTCTATTTAAGAAGGATTTGATGTGCTTATGGGTTTGCATCAAATAATTAACAGTTAAATGCAAGGCATTTTGGATAGAAAAGTTGTTAAGAATGGCGATTTTTTATCGGAATATGATGGAATTACGGGGAAAGAGTGATAATTGAAGGTGAAGTGGAAATCTGAGTCACGGTAGAATACAAACCAGCCTAGCGTTAAGTAGGTCACTGGTGTACCCTTGTCATAACGACCTATGCTCAGATAGTGTGTGTGTGAATAAGTGAAATGCTATCAAAATAGGAATGCTAGGCAATAAGAGACTGTCTATATTACTTGAGAATTACTTAGGAGAAAAAAGTAGGATAGAGCCATCTATACATTGATAGAATAAAATCACCAAACAATATGGGTCTAAACTCCTTTTATTTGCAGTCGAGACTCAGGTTTTTGTAATTACAAAGCTGAATCATTGGGAGTACATACGCAGCGAACATGCACTGATTTTAGTAGCTTATTCTTTGCTTTGTAAATAACCTTGAAGGAAGAGCTTGTTGAGATTGAATAACTAGTATCAGCAAGATGTACTCTTATCATTCTTTGATAAATACACCCCCTCCATTTCCTAAACATGTGAGAAATTTTTCGGACAGGATCTAGGTCGAATGGCTGGTCTATATTCAGAAGTCCAAGTTAGAAAATTCACCCACATGAAGGTGGCCAAATGGCAAAGCTTTTCCTTCAAGCTGTTAAAAAATAATGACCAATTAGAGAATATTACTGTTTATGTTACTGCGGAGAATGCTGTTTTTATGAACTTCAAGATTCCGCTGTTAGGGGTTTAGTCATCTGTGAAGCTGAAGTTCATATCGAGACTTTTTGGGCACATAAAACAGACCACATTTCGAAAGTGTTTGCTTAATATTTTCGCCTTTGAACCCAGTTGGATATACGTTTTAGATCAGGACTGAAAAGGCTACTGTCTTCTTAAACAGTTTCTGGACTGCATATACTCTGAATGAGAGTGGTAATGAAGACTTGTTTAGGTAACCTATACTTCTTAAATGTGCAAAGTTTTTTTTGAAACATTTTCTGATAAGTGACAGAAAACTATTCTCCTTCCTTACGGCAAGAAATTATTTTTATGACTAGGACATATTTTTAGTAATGAACTTATTGCTTCAGATTGCTTTGATTTCTTTAAAAGCATTCTCATCTTGTTTTCTTTCAACAGGATCAACTTTATTCCACAAGAATTTTCTGGGTGTATTCAAGAAGCCAGATACAGTCGGCATTCAAACTTGATTCAGTCAGCGGTTAACCTAAATACCTTCCAAAATTATATACCATAATTTGCACAATCATAATTTCTTAATTTAACTCACATTTTTCCTAGTTTTTGATTGTATTAAATTAAAAATTGTCATTGATAAAATGAAAACGAGCACTTCATACTGTACAGACAAACAACAATCTTCTTATCCTATTTTACTACCTAAACCACTTTCACATAAAAGACCTTTATTTGACCATGTAAAAACTGGAAAATATAATATGAAGAATTGGAATTACCAGTTGTTAGCTGCACAAATCGGTGCTCAGGCAGCTGATTACGCTGCTGCTAGATATAATCATACGACAGAGGCGTTTTCATTCAACAAAAGTGAGCCGAATTCCTATTCTGAATCTTCGCTTCGTCCTTCTTTTGCAACGACATCCAAATCAAATTTATTTCTTTACAGTGGCATAACAACACTTAAAATAAACCCATCATTACATACTGTCAGGTCAGTCGGTGTTTTACCTTCATGTGTGTTATTTCCCCTTCTGGGTTTCATCATTTTTTTTTAAAAAATCCACTTTATGAATAGATTCTGAATATTTTTATTTATTTATGTTTTGTATATGCGCGTTCTGTTTATTTAAATTTTTTTAATCTGCCTAATGCAATTGATGTGTTTCGCTAAATTACGTGATTTTGTAGACGAAAAATACAAATCCAAAATTATTCTCTCAGTTTTAATCTTATCCGGATAGCGCTATCAAACAGTCAGTTAACGCATGGAAATGCAGTGTGTATGCGTTTAAATATAGTGTGTACAAAAATAGATTTGTGCGTGATGATTCTAGGAAAACAAAAGCAAAGAAAGACCAGTTCACTGGTGTTTATTTTGCCTCGTGAAATGTTTATAAACAAACTGATTTCTCAGGTACTCAGGTACACAATTAATCTATGAATAAACAAAATTTTAGTTATAAAATTTCCATTCTTCTGCTGGAGCAAGTACTGAGGCGAAACAGTAAAACAGTGACATAGGGATAAATCGTGGGCACTGTGGTAGAGTGTAACTCCATTACGGATAAAATTTCATTTCGATAAACTCACTCAGCGTTATACAGTAAGTGATTTTTACAGATGACCACGTTTCGAGCACAAATTATTGCTCATAATCATATCAAGTCACTCACACAACTTTCTTGCTTCATTTATATACATGAGTAAAAACTGATGATTAGACATTTGAATGAAATCAAATATAATATAAAGTACATTCAGAAATAATATGAGTGTTATCAATAGAATACAATCAGATGGAGAATAAGATGTTTTTCTAGTAAAATAAATAGCTTGTTAGAATGTGAACTGAATACATTCTAACATTATTTACTATCCACTGGCTTGACTGATAGTAATACATTCCATATCTCTGGTGTTTGCGATGAATCACTTCTGTTGCATGTGCTGGGTGTAGATTCGATGAACAAGGATTCAGTAATCAATATCTCTCTCCACCTACCTATATTACTTCTTAGAATTTGACTCTGTCCCACCGACCCTATTGTGCGGTTGTGTGTTAATGCATGCGGTGCGATTGCTGCGTTTTTTTTCTAAATTACTTATCTTCGTGCGATTAATCATTCTAACATTAGCTAAATTCTTATGTTCTGATAATCTCACAACTCCTGATCTCCTGGTTTGACCTATGTAGTTGACCTCACTTACAGTCATTGCAAGGTATTTTGTAAGTTATATTATTTTGTTTAATTGGGTCCACCGGGTCTTTTAGCCTACAGAGCTTGTCTCTGAGTGAGTGTGTAGGTTTGGATGCCACCTTAATTCCTGCTTTATTGAGAATCCTACGTAGGTCCTCAGATGTCCCCTCCTTATATAGTAAAACTGTAGATGTCTTATGTTCTTTCTTATTTATGTTGCCATTATTAGTTTCACCATTATTTTTATTTTGCTTTTGGCCTTTCTTGATATTCCTAATGAATTTCATGAGATAGTTATTTAACACCAACGCTTCTTCTGTTTCATTTCATCGTTTTTTGTTGTACTACTTAGTGCTATTGCTCGGTTTGTTAAGCATTTAACTAAGCCTGCCTTTACAGATAACGGATGAGATGAATGTACTTTATATTATATTTGATTTTATTCAAATTTCTAATCATCAGTTTTTACTCATGTATATAAATGAAGCAAGAAAGTTGTGTGAGTGACTTGATATGATTATGAGCAATAATTTGTGCTCGAAACGTGGTCATCTGTAAAAATCACTTACTGTATAACGCTGAGTGAGTTTATCGAAATGAAATTTTATCCATAATTGAGTAAAACAGTCACGACTGACTCGTCATGTAGTGTTAAAAATCGTAAATTTATTTGGTAAATTCCGGAGAAATCTTAAAATAAAGATTCATAACTTTTTGGAGGCGATATCCTAATATCAAGCCGTTTCCAAAGGTCCTTCTGTATATTTCAACGCATGAAATCCAACTTCATTTCAAAAAGTTTTTGAAATGATTACTGCATTGAAGATGATTATTCGTCGTGTGAGATGTTATTGGGTTTGTATTCTTCTCTCAATAGCAGAAATTGCTTAGCTAACTCTAGAAAAACAGTGTTGAATAAGTTCACTAAATTCCATCGTCATTTGAACATGAAGAATCTGTATTTTTGTCTTGTGGTCGTTCACAACACAATGTTCGAATTCGATCTAAATATATCATCATACTGAGTAGATGGGGAGTATGAAGTTTAGGAACTGCTTCACTCGGATCTAATACCCGAGGTATTCCCAGTTTAGAGGAAACATCAAATGCCAAACAACATCTTTGAAAAGGATCATCCAGAGACAGTGTAACATTGTCAGTTTGATCTGAATAAAAATTCTGTTAGATATTACAAAAGGCTAAACCATTCTGATATGATGCAGTAAGATCAGTGATCTGCATTTTATCATAAAACTTGGTTACTTGTTAACACCATAAAAGTAAATCATACTGACTGTGAACTGATGCAGCTTTTAATTAGGGTAAATTAGTCTGTGTTTTTGCGTTGATCGTTCAGGGGTAGAATGACCACTAACCAATCACGTGGTTCAGGGTTCGATTCTGGGCCAACTGACTCTTGAGCCTCACCTAGCAGGTAGTAAGCCTGGAAGAGATGGAAGGTATGTTGTGGTGTAGCAACCCCACTCTGTAAAAACGGCGCAAGCGCTAGTGAAACTTCCGAACTCTAGTTTAAAGCTATATGTTCCACTCGGAAAGCAAAAGGAAAAATAAGACACTGTTTCGCCAGATAAAGTATTAACCCGCTTTTCTAAGAAATCATCACAAGCAGATTTGAATGAACCCTGATTTTCTGAAATCGTTTGATGTCGCCCTGGAATTCGCCGAATCAGGATTACTATTTAGAAAATAACCATCTGTTTGTACAGGAGGTTCTTCAAGAAGATCGTTCTAAGGCTTGTAGTTTAGCAGTTAACTCACTAAGATCAGTATCCTAACTGCTATTTGAGTAAGAATGTGAATCGGATTCATCTGTAGCTGTAGCTCTAGATACCAATGGTGGAAATACTGCTATGCCACCAAAGTCATTAACAGTTATGCAAATACCAGCGTTAAAACTTTTTGTAAAACTAAATGATAAAAATAATTCAGTAGAAGTTATATCTTCATCAGAGGCATCGCCTTCCTTTACAGCAACTGAATTTAGTGTAAGTAGGAAAATTGCAGATGTTAACGTCTTTTAAGATGGGCGCATAACCAGTATGAAATCCACCTGAATGGGTGAGTATGAGGCAAATTCAGATATATCGAATCGCCTTGTAGCTAGTACACATGGTCTAGCAGACGTTGTGGGAAAATTCCATAATCAGGAGAGTGTCAAAGAGGGATAGAAGGAAGAGTAAATTAATAAGAAATGGTTAAAAATTTGACCATTTTGCCCCCCCCCCCCCCGGATATTGTTTCAACCACAGACACCATTGATGAGAATGTAAAACGTAGGATCAAAGAAGCAAGACAGAACTTTATTAATCTGAAATCAGTGTGGAAATCGAATGCACTCAGAATAGCGAACAAGATTCGGATTCCTAACGCTAATGTCAGGTTAGTCAGTTATTCTTTATGGATAAGAACCTTCGTGCGTCACGAAAAGCATTTCCAGTTGGCTTCAGACTCTTATCAACTGTTGCCTTTGCTCCGTACTGAAGACCAGCTGGCCTGAAACGTTTAGCAACAAGGAACTTAGTAAACAAACAAGCCAAGTACCTACCGCTCAACAAATATGCAGAAGAAAATGTAGATGAATCGAACATATACCGAGAAGACCGTTCAGTGACATGGTGCACCACACTCTTGAGTGGAATCCGAATGAGAAACGTCGAGTAAGACGTAAGTTTGAGTGTAACATGGAGGAGACGAGAGCATATGGACGACCATGGATCAGGCTAAAGAGGACTGCAGAGAACAGGATAAGATGGGGGCATTCCGTTGAAGTCCTATGTTTCACTCAAAAACCAAGGGAATAGTAATAATCCCTATGTTGAATCTAAGCGTTGGTTCTGATTAGCTATCTGACATTTGACAGGGGTGATATTTATGCCGATCATCAACATTTTTGCTGAAGGTGTTCGGGGGACTTCTTGCCCCACTAAGTCTAGAATTAGATGGCCTGACGAAGCGTTTCGACCAACATTTCAGTCGTATCGTTTCGGGGAAATTAGTAACTAGCTAGTTGCTGACAGAATTTCAGCGTGGATACTAATGGCTCATGTGACGTTAGTCAATTTGTGTTAGCAAGATATTCGACTACCTATTAGACGCTGTGCAGTAATACACAGCAGCTTGCTGGAACTCTGTTTACATTTGTTTAACATGTCCACTATAAAAATAAAGAAGATATTCCCCGGTTTTCCACTACAGTAGCCTATGTTTTATTGCTCATCCTAACTGGAACAAAACTTAAGTCAAACGAATATTCATCGTAGAGTTTTCGGCAGGGAATAACAGTCAGTCAGTTTTCGTTGATTGAGGTAGCTGGGATTTTTTTGCATATCTCATGCCAATGCCCTCTTTGCCAGGAAATATTATGTAGATTATGATTAATTCGGAAAATACTAAGCATCACTAAACCAAAACATCAGACAGACCATGAAGCAATACTATTTGCTACCTCTTCGCATACGAATTTGCAAAATTTTGATGTCTATCAAACAAATCTTATGCAGATATCTTAAGTGAATAGTTTATCCGCTAAGCAAACTAGTTCACAGAAAAGAAAAGGCGTTCAGCAAAGAGTTACTCTTTTCGGCGATATCATTCTCAAGCTGTACAAACCGCAAATTTATAGTAATTTTTCTTGGCAACAAAAGGAATATTTCCAAAGATGTGTTAATGCAATTGTTAATTTTTGACAACAAATTACGTAATTTAGAAGGCGTTAATCGGTTAGAAACTAAAATAAAGTTACAAAAGTAGGTTGGGTGACGTAATCTAATTG